CACAGCGTGGGTTACCACGAGAAGTTATTGGGGTTTGGAGCAAAGTACTACTCCTCTGTAGTCTTTACACAACCAAATCCTTTTTATGAGTTTATTATTATTTATGTGCTTATAAGCAAATTGAAGAATATAGTATTATATAATCAATTGATATTTGAAAGATGGTTACTAAACTTGGTTTCTCATATGGCCATCTTTACTATTTTTTCTTCTCTGCATTCCTCTTTGCATCTGTGTTCCTTACCATCAGATAATGGGCTTTTACCCCAGCTCTGAGTAAGCACATTTGATAGGCGTACCTTGTAGAAGGAAAAGGAATCTGGGATGCAGTACACATCTTCCTCTCCCAGCTGCATTTCTCCTTCTTTTACTATGTGTCTTGGTCATTTGAGCTGCTGTAGTGGAATATCAGACTGGGTGGCTTAGGCAAAACCACTTATTTCTTGCAATCTGGAAGCTGGGAAGTCCAAGATCAAAGTACTGGCAGATTTGGTGCCTGGTGAAGGTACTCCTCCTGGTTGACAGATGCTTTATCCTCAAGTGCAGGAGAAAGAGAGGGCTCTGGCCTCTTCCTCTTCTTATAAGGGCACTAAAGCTATCAGGGGGCCAACTCTTATGACCTCATTTAAACTAATTACCTCTCAAAGGCCTCATCTCCAAATAACCATCACATTGGGGATTAGGGCTTCAACGTATGAATTTGGGGGGGGGCACACATATTCAGTCCATAGCACTATATATACTTCAACAAAGAAAAAATAATGCTTTCAGACTGGGTGGCTTAGGCAAAACCACTTATTTCTTGCAATCTGGAAGCTGGGAAGTCCAAGATCAAAGTACTGGCAGATTTGGTGTCTGGTGAAGGTACTCCTCCTGGTTGACAGATGCTTTATCCTCAAGAGAGGGCTCTGGCCTCTTCCTCTTCTTATAAGGGCACTAAAGCTATCAGGGGGCCAACTCTTAAGACCTCATTTAAACTAATTACCTCTCAAAGGCCTCATCTCCAAATAATCATCACATTGGGGATTAGGGCTTCAACGTATGAATTTGGGGGGGGGCACACATATTCAGTCCATAGCACTATATATACTTCAACAAAGAAAAAATAATGCTTTGTGGAAGAGGGGACCAAAGAAGGAAAGAGGTAAAAGAACCAAGAGGAAAGCAAAGAAATTATGAAGAAGCACAAAGAAGGGGAAGGAAAAAGAGGATGGCATGAAGGGGTTTCAGTGAGAGTAGCAGAAGGAGGTTGGAGAAGTCCCAAAGCCAAGCTTAACCTCTTCCCGCTGTCTTAGAACTAAAGCCCTTCTCCCTCTGGGTCTGGGGATGGTTCTGGAAGGCATCAGTCAACTGCCAGGTTGCTCCTACAGCTGTGATAATTGTATAACTAAAGCAGTGGTCACTTAGGCCAAAATGAACTTAATCAGCATTTTGCAACAAGCATTCTTATGTGCCTGCTATCCACAGCCTCCTGAGCTCAATAATTACCAGCCCACCAGTTAAGAATAGAAAATACCAAATCTCCATTCCAGGTGTTTTATTCACCACTCTGGATAGAGGAGGGTTCCCCAAGTTCTCCAAACCCTTTCTCTGTCCTGTGCCCAAACTTGCCTTTCTCTAATCCTGGCTGGAGAATTTGGAGGAAGGTTTGAAGGTCTGCCTCCTATGGCCCCTCAGCTGATAATGTCTGCAGTGCTTGGAAGTGGAGGTCCTACCATATGACTGTTAGATATGACCTGATTTCAACACTGCTTGACAAGCAGTAATACCTTCTTTTACAGATAAGGACAAATTAAGGTGCCTAGCATATTTTAAACATGGTTCCCCAGGCAGGTGTGACTGGTTTTTCTACTTGTATTTTTATCAGACTATGAGGCTTGCATGATATATGTCCAGGCTTGGAAGCAGACTAGGAATGCAAAGGCTTAGTAGTTTTAAATGTACCTTTCCCATGTGATACTCCAGGAGGAAGCGAAAGATATTTTTAGAAGAACATAGTTACGCAGAAATTGTGGTATCTAAGCTACTGTTTTTATACAAGAGTCAAGAAACAGAAGTAAAAGATACAAGAAGGCTTGATTTATCTTAATAGATTACTGATGTTGCATGATTTGTAGAATAGTTTACTGCTCACATTTCTGACCTGAAATTGTTATTCTTCCATGGCTTAATTAACATTAAAAAACATAAGATAGTTTTCCTTACAAATGTGATTAATCTGACCAAGAAATAAAACAAACAGGAGTAAGTGCCATACACAGTGATTTGCCTGCAAAAAGATGCTCATGATGATACTAGAAATCACTGGTTCCTAACCAGGGCGATATTGCCCCTCCTCAGGGGGTATTTGACAATGTATGAACACATGTTTTGATTGCCTCACTTGGGGAGGAGCTGCTATTGGCAGCTGGTGGGGGATGCTGATAAGCCTCCTGTAGTGCATAGGACAGTCCCCACCACAGAATTATCTGGTCCAGAGAACCAGTAATCCTGAGGTTAAAAAGCCCTGTTGTAAATATGTGCAGAAGATACAACATGAACTAATTGACAAATGGACTAAATTAGGGAAAACCCAAGATGATGCCAACAGTAGTGGCTACTATCTCTGGGGTTTTCAGGGTTTTTCCCACCCTTAGCTCTTTATTTTGAAATCATTTTAGACTTACAGACCAGGTAACATGCATCTCTATTTGCTTATTAGCCCTTGGCACATAGGAGGCTTTGCTGAATGTTGAATGAAGTGAAAGAGAATCAGGAAAGGGACACATTAGGACTGGGTCCATTTAGATTTCACTTCCATGTAAACTATGAAACAGTTGAGGGCTCAGAGCTGAGGGGAAAGTTTGGAGATAAGTTTCTTGGTTTCCTAGAAACATCCAGCAGGTTAACCCCCACATCTACCTGTGCCTTTGCTTCTGCTTGGCTTAGGTTGCCTAGTGCCAGTGGAATTGTGGCAGGGAGAACACCTCCTACTTAGGCTACTCATGAGCTTTGGGTCTTGACAGAAATGATTTCACACCCTAAACCTTACCCTTGCCATTGAGGGCAGCTAGGACAACCCCAAAGGACATTACCTATTGAATAAATTTGTGTGTGTGTGTGTATTCTGATTAAAACAGAAACCCAGAAAAGTCAAAGTCTTCCATAGTTCTAATAATAAACTGGTATATATTCTTCCAGTTTTTAAATACATATATTAACATTTTAACATATCATTAAAGATAAAAATGCAATTTTATAGAATAATATTTTACAACTTGTATGTTTACCTTACTATCTTGTGGACATTCTTTGTTCCAGTGTGATGGATAAATCATTTAAAGTTGTCTGTAAAATAAGGATTACAGTATCCACCCCACCTACTTCAGGAGCATTAGAATGACTCATAAATAAATATAAATTAAGATTTGGAAAGTATGTTGAGTTTCTTAGATGAAAATCATATTCTATTTTATAATTGATTATAATAATGTTGAATGATTCTATTACTAGTTTCTTTTGAGATGTTACTGACTTTAAAAAAAAAAAAAAACATTCTGAATCCTCAGAAACCATTATGGCTGCTTTAGTGTAGTTTGTGTCATACTCTTAGATTTCAACTGTCTTTTTTGTGTCCCCACAGGTAAATACGTGTATCAGCCTATGACCCCTGTGGAACAGCTTCCCAGCACTGAGATTCCTGCTAGGCCTCGGGAAACCACAAACACCATTCAGATCTCAGTCTCACTCACTGAACACTTTTTGAAGTTTGCATCTGTCTTCCGGCCTCCCCTTCCCCCTGACTCACCAAGGTACTGTATGATTTCAGACCTCTTTATTGACAACTATCAGGTTAAGTGTATTAATGGGAAGATGTGTTACGTGCAGAAGCAGCCGACGCCACATTCCCACAAAATGAGTCCTGAGGAAGTCTCTGCACATGATGCCTTAATCTCAAAAGGGAGCAACACACCGAAAATAGATCACTGCTCTTCTCCCTCAAGTTCTGAGGACTCTGGGATCAATGCGATTGGGGCTCACTATGTGGAATCGTGTGATGAGGACACAGAAGAAGGAGCAGAACTGAGTTCAGAGGAAGATTACAGTCCAGAGAGCAGCTGGGAACCGGATGAGTGCACCCTTCTCTCCCCCTCTCAGTCTGATCTGGAAGTGATTGAAACAATAGAAACCACCGTGTGAGGGTCCAGGCAGGAAGCTGCAGCCTCTGAGCCATGCTGAGCTTTTGTACTTTTGTCTGATGGATCCTTCTTTTCAATGCTGTTGATATTTTCTACCCATCTCTGACAACAGTAGCAGTTCAGTGGTCTGCTGATTAGCTTCACTCTTAAATTAGTCTTGTAACTAAGACATTCTTTTTATTATAAATGGTTTTCTTTTGTATTTTGACTTACTTTCTATGTAGCATCTGGTGTCATGAATTGTGACCCAGCCTTAATGTCACTGGGAACTTTGAAAGTGGTGAAATTATGATCACAGAATTTCATGAATCAGATTGAGGAGCTACCCAGACTGAAGGAGACAGTATTTTCTAAATAGCCAGTCCTTCTCAAAAAGACTCCTGGCATTCCTTCTGGCATGCTTGCAGGTACCCCTATCCTGCTAGTCCCACGTGGGAAGCAGCTCACTTGAAGGGAACAGAGTGTGCACTGGTGGATGCCGTTCCTTCCCTTTCCCCTTCTCCCTGCCACGTGCACTGGGTCTGGCCCAGAGCTGCCTCCCCTTACTTCTGGGAGGTCACTGGAGGACATTCCAGCCCCTGGTTATGCCCAGTGTCTGCACAAACCTCCATGACTGGGGCTTGCTAGACCTTCACATATGAGCCGTTTCATGCTCAATTCAGGTTTAACTGACACCTACACTCTGGAGGGTGCTGTGGGGATACAGAATGAGTAAGACCTGATCCCCACCATGAAGGGGCCCACAGTCAAATAGAGGATATGACATGTACAGCTAATGTTACCCAGATGCTCTGGGAACCCAGGTGAGGGAGAGATGTATTTGGCTTGGGCTAGATAGGAAAGGTGTTGCAGATTTGGGCTGGCCTCTTAGGTGGGTTCCCCAACATTTCCCTGCTTTTCTTAATTGTTCTTCAAATTTGGGGAAAACTTTTAGGAAGTTATATAGGTATTCTATTTAGGAGGCTGCCACAGCTGACATCTTAAGAAAAAAATCGATTAATAGTTCTAGTTAGCATGGAAATGCTAAAGGCAGAAGTCCTTTAGGGATTAGGAATGAATCTAATAGGTTTGATTAATTCTGCTTCATTTGGTTGTATGAAGCATTAGAATGAGTTAGGTGAGAAATGGATTAGAATTCAGTATGATGCATGGATTTTTTATGCAAATGCAGAAGCAGTTGAGAGAGTTCACTGCTTAAGTCAGGAGAAAATATTTTGTGTAATATTCATTCACTTTACTACACTAATATTCATAGTATGTTGTATATGTTCTCTTCTCTCACATGCACAAAATAGTGAATAATTCTTATTTAGCTCTCTTCAGAATTCTCCTAATCTCCACTTATATCAGCTATTCTTGTGTGAGCTGGTTATCTGCCATTTCTCCAAATCTTCTGTGAGTCCAGGAGATTTTAAATATGGAAAATGAACACTATCAAAGTTGGAGATAGATAAATACTTCTCATACCCTAACTATCCATGAGTGTGCTCTTGTGGCATTATCTTGTGCTCTGTCAGCAGTATGGCTCTTGTCTTCTATGTCACATTAGTTAGTATTTTAAGAAATGGGAAGAAGCCTGTTGTGTTCTTCCCTGAAGCTTCCATTTGGCATTCTTCACAAACTACTCAAGGAAGAATCTGCTTTCCTAGTATGTGTAGTTTAAGTGATTTACTAGAACTTTTTGTTAGGCTTAGGTGCCCAAAACATCCATAGGGTTTAGAAGGCAGAGTATGAATTTTCCTTTCAAAACACTATTATTTAAAACTTTCTAGATGAGAATGAAGTATAAAGTTCCCACTTATTGAAATTAAAAACTCAACAAGTCACACCCAAGAGGGTGGTAGGAGGAGCTCTAGCAACAACAAGGTACAAGGGAGGGCAGGTGTGTGGGCTTTCCCCTGCTCTGGCCTGGCCTGGCTCAGGTGGCCTGGGGACATCTGCTGAGCCCTGCCTGAGTTCTCAGTGCCTTCCTTGAGCAAGTGGCCAGTGGAAGGCAGGCATGGAAGCTGAATGTCTGCAAGCTACATGTCAGGCCCCAGCAGTGCAGTCGGTGACCATGCGCTCAGGGTTTAACAGCAACACCAGGGCCCCATCTAAATCACTCCATGGATGAGCTCCTTGAATCCACAGATGGGCATACACAGGGGCTTCTTTATACCATTCCCATCAACTTTCTATTTTGGGCCCACATCCCCACCCATTAAGCTAATTAGAGTCAACAATCAGGTCTACAAAGTTATAGAAATACATGGTCATGGGGCCACATTTTTGCAGCTTGGCTAAATGTCAGGGTTGGGCCCTTTATCGGTAATAGCTACAACTTTTGTCTAGTTCCTGTTTTTTAAACTCCTGAACTGCCATTCAGATTAGCCACAATTTTAATGGAATTTTTGGATTTAATAATGGTTGATAATCACTTTAAATATTTGCATAATCTCTTTATAATTAAAAACTCACTGATTCACTTACTACTATCTATTTTATAGAATTGGAGATATTCCACTGGATTCTAAATATCAGATACCCCTGGATCTCAAAACAGCTTTTTCTAAATAAGCACAAGAATTGTTTTTGTCCTAGCACTGTTAATTTTAATAATTCTCTGAAATATATGATTGAACCAGAGTTGATTGTTTATTCTTGCATTACAAAATCTACTGATAAGGATAGAAAAATGTGAAGTTTCAACTTAAATTCTAGGCCTATTCTGTTCCATATCATATGAAAGAATTTCTCTGTAATCCTAATATTATATTGCTAATTTGTATAAGCATATTGATAGGCACTTTAGAAAATGTTTAGACCGCAACGTATACTATAGACATTGAACAAGTGATGTTAAGTAGCCTTTCGATTAATACTTGGACATTGAGAGAGATGAAAGCTTTATCATTTGGACCTAGTAGTATGCTCACTTGGAGCAAGTGTTGGGTTATGTGGATGGACAGACTGCTTTCTTGGGCTTCTGTGGAAACCTGACACCGTTTCCACTTTGTGAAAGTTGTATAAAAGCTATTACGTAGATGCTTAATTCTACTAAATGGGGAATTTAGCTTTCTTATCTAACCAAGATTTATTTCAGAACTTTCAAGTTTCAGATATGCTCATAACTTTTTTGAGAATTGGCAAAGCAATTAAAATGCTTTTGTGGTTATAACTGTTTGGTACATTAAAAAATAAGGCTTTACTATCAAATATAGGGATTTTTACCTTGTAATTTTTAGGATATGAAATGAGAATTTGAGGAAAACTCTGAAAAAAAACAGTTGCTTTCCTGGAAGGGAAAGACTTATAGTTCAAGATAATACAATACATAATAAAACAAAAAACAAAACCACTGAGGCCGGAACAAAACCATGTAGTTGTTTTCCAAAATACTTCTTGGATTTGATCTAGGACTTGATTTTATCTTGGAAGTGGTGGTTTTATTTCTTAACCTCCACTTCCTGGCCTATTTGAAACATCCCAGTTCTTTTGGGACTGATGGTAACAAAATACTTTTATGCATATTTAATTCTCTACTTGTGTAATAGAGTATAACGGATAATTTAGAAAGCTATCAAAATATCCTCGCAAGTTTGGTGGTATAGATACTACTAGGCAAGAAAGAAAGCACAAGTTAAACAAAATGATATTTATATGATCAGCTCTTGATTATTCTGACATCTTGTTCCCAAAATTTTATTGTCACGTTTTGGCTTTTTCCATGAGGAAAACAAAGTTTTAGCTGTTTTCTTTCCTACCCCCTTTTACAGAGGAGGTGTGAACCAGAATTAAGGAGCCAGTTTTACTAGGAGTGCGTGGCTCTTCCCACTGAGGAGGAGGCAAGTGGGGGTTCCACTCATGTTACTAGTACCCTGAGTTCCGGAGACGTCAGTCTTTCTCACATCCAAACATAAGTATAAGGACACTTTTCAAAATTAATCTGGGAATTATTCACCACTTAAAAAATTTGTCACTGCTCCTTTTCATTACTATGGATAATCGAGAGTTGACTGTATTAGGAAAGGGCCATGTTTCAGTTAGTGCTATGAGTTCTTTTTTCTATTAACGTTGAAGCAGTCCTCTCTTAGTAGCCGAACACCTCTGAAAGCGACACATCACTAGCGGTTTTAACATTAAGCTTCCATATTATTGTGTTCACATAGGCTTTTTAAGGCTGTTCATACCTTGCAATATTCACTTACTGTGCTGTTTTTTTAAACCTGTCCATTTTAAAGTTTTAAGCACAATGTTGACTCTTCTTTAATTTCCTAAAATTATATTGTTTTCTTACAGACACCTCAACTTTATTTTATGTATAATACTTCAGAAAATATTGCCTTGTAAAGTAAATGTGATTTTTTTCTTTTGTAACAGAATGAATCTGCTATTTTGGAATTTGGAATATGCCTCTTACTCCCCCAATCCCCCACAAATTGGGGAGTTCTGATTTAAATAACATGTGAGCTAAAAAAACAAACAAAAATCCACATTTTCAAAATGTGAGATATTTATATTGAATGTTTACTGTGTGCTAGGAAATAAGCAATATATGTCCATTATCCCATTTAAACTTCACAGAACTTCATGAAGTGCAGGTAAATATTATCCACAATATATGCTAATGGTCACCAATCGTGATAACTCCCAGAATTCTTTGTAATAAGGACTTTTTTGTTGGCCACATTTGGTTTATATCAAATAAAACTTATATTCCCTCACAAATAGCATTTATTTCACACAAAGAAACAGGCTTTGTGTTCGGTTTACACATGCCATGTAAGACAGAATTTGGCTGCAGTTCTAACTGCAGGTCAGGCATCAAAGGAGGCAGCTACTGCACAGGGCCTTGGGGCACTTGGGGGCACTTGGTTGCCACTTGGTCACCAAAACTCGGGGTGCAAGCCTCAGTATGGCAAGTCCAGGAGCTCACTTTTTAAAATTTAGCACACCCAGAAATGAACAGCTTCTGATGTTGGCATCTATTGAACAACCTCAGTAGGGACCGCTAAACAAATTATCAGTAATAATATCATTGTTAATAATTAGAGCTCAATAGCTACCTTACTGCTTTCTCTGCATAATCTTCACAGCAACCCTATGAGGGAGATTTCAGCACCTCATTTCACAAATTGGGAAAAGAGCTCAAAAAGTACACATTTTTGCCCACAGTGGCACCACTTGTCAGTCGGGGCAGTCAAGATTTGAACCCAGGCACTCTGGCTCTGGAGTCCACACTCTTGGCCCTTTGCCTGCATTGCTCCATTCCTGTCCCTCCCCTGGCAGGCACCTTCCCACAGGCTGGTGGCTCATCTCCTCACCCAGTGCACCTCCTCCCCAGACAGTGTCATAGAAACACCGACAGGCTTCCCTCCTTGCCCCCTTTTCTGTGCTCCACATAGACGCCTCCCATGCACGCACACGCCGTGTTCCTGTAAATACTTCAGTGCTTTCATTAGGCCATTGCTTCTGCCATGTTTAAATCACATCTTGACTAGCATTCTAGTCTAGCTCTTTCTGCCTTCACAAAAGATAACTTGTCTTTGAAAGTGACTCCTGCAGACAGCTAATCTCATCTACTGTGTGTACATTCCACTAATTTAACTCTACGTAATTGCCAAATTCTGGAAGGTATTTCATTGTAGCCTCTTACAGATGCTGACCACACACACTTTTATTCTGCAATGAACTTTCATTTAGCATCTCATCCTCATTACAGTTCAGTCACTGGGAATTGGTAATGCCTTTAACCCTTGGTGTCTCACCTTGGTTTTTTGCTAAGTCAGGACCTTGGGACTCAGTTTCACGGTAGAGTTCAAGGAGGGACAGTTAGAGGTCAGATAGAATTAATTTTTCAGGAAATATGAGAAGTCGATGGAAATACCAGTAAAAAGCATGGCAAAGTAAATATGCCAATGTAGTAATGGTGTTTTGCTGTCTTGCTTTTTTGAATTTTCTGGTTTTCTAAAATGAATCTATGTTACTTTCATAATCAGAAACAACCCAGTAAGTTATTTTAAAGATGGTGAGCCCTCAGGAGGGATGAAGACAGGACAACAGGCTTCCTCTGCAGGTATGGTGAGTGCTCCTCTGCAGGTATGGTGGTGTAGATGGGGTGAGTCAAACTGCCATTTTACTCAGCCTGGGGGAAGCTTCACAGAGGATCCAGGTAGCATGAGATGGCCAGGAAGGCCCCAGGGCTAGGGGGCTGCTGGGATGGATCCTCTGACGACCTGGGGCTGCCCACTGGGGCTCAGTGGTGCTCAGACTCCTCTGGGGCCTGGAGTCCGGAAGACACCACCCCAGAAGCCCTTTCCTCCAACTCTGGGCACGTCCCAGGGGTCTGATTCTGGACATGCATCTTTGGAAAAACATTTTCAGCAGGCAGAGAGTGGAAACACTGCTTCTTGAAAGGATTTCCAAAACTGAATTGTTTACTCACCGAGGCATTCATCATCAATGAGTCTGCCTTCCTCTTCCACAGACACCTTCTCTTCCCCTCACCAGGGTAGGCTGTAGTTGGTAATACCTGACTTTTGTAAAGCATTTCCCACATGTCACTAGGCCCTTTGCTGTGGGTGGAACCGATCGCTTCTATCATCTCAGAGCGGCCAGCAGCCTTCCTCAGTTCACACAGGGGCCTGTGGCAGGCTGTGCCTGGAACACAGGCTCCTGACTTCCCAACCATCCCCTCTGCCTCTCCTGGAGAGCTAGGTGAGTCTCCATCCTCTGATGGCAGGAGGGAAGGGCAGATGCAGGGCTGCCTCCTCCACACATCGGCTGGGGTGTGAAGGCCAAGCTTGCCCCGCCCTTTCCCCCCAAAATCCCTCCTGAGGAGTCCTCTAGACTAAAGCAGGAAAATAATGAATCAGCAACGTTAGTGCAGCAACTTCTGGGTCCCTAAAGTCAGGATTGACTCTTGGAACACGATGGGCCTGTCACCTGCAGACGCTCCCCACTGCTGGGCTCAGCTCAGGCTGTTTCCCTGTCCTCATACTCAGGTGGGGGGACAGACTGCCTTCCTCCATGAAGCCTTTCCCACTGATCACGCCTTCCCCATCCTGAACCACCATGCCAGCCCTGCATGGTTCCTATCTCCTTGCCATCTACACGCCCAACCAGACGGTGAGCAGGACACTCTTCTCTGGGCACACGGCTCTTGCTTGAGAGTGTAGCTGTCCCAGGTGGCTGCAGAGCTCTCTGCTGGATGCTGGATGCTGGATGCTTCTTGTGCCCCCCCCTGCAGCCCCTCCCCCAGAGTCTCCACCACTACTTCGCAGGCCGGGGCCAAGGCTGGTGCCTGATCTGGGTGGGGGAAGCTGGCACCTACTGAGTTCTGAGGTTCCTTGGATTCTAGAATTTACTGACTCCAACATTTTATTTATTTTTTTTAAAGAAAATGTAATTTTATTAATATTTTTTACATTCTAGGATGTGGAGCAGTTGGGAGGGCGGGGGAAAGGGAAAGGGGTAAAGAAATGTGATGGAAGAAGGAGGCGGCACCCCCCTCATTCCCAGAGGGGAGACCAGGGGGCTTCCAGCAGTGGCTTGGTCATTACTGGGCTGGGTGCAGATGTTAGGAGGGTGTGGCAAAAGCCCTTGCTTGGAACCTGGGGACTTTTTGCTGCAGCTTGGTGGTTGTCACTGGCTGGTTGCACGACTGACTCCAACATTTTAAACTGCCGCGCTCAATTTCTGCAGGGATCTGCTCTGATTTCTGTAGAGTGGCAACTAACAGAGATTTTGCTTTCTTTTCTATTCCTTTGATGGGTAAAGAAATGAAAAATTATATCAGAAACAAGGTGAATGAGTCCAAATTATTTTTTTCGTTAAATTTTTATTTTGTCAATATACAATGTATATGATTATTATGGCCCATCACCAACACCTCCCTCCCTCCTCCTCCTCTCCCCTCCCCCCCAAGAATGTCCTTTCCGTTTGCTTGTTGTAACAACTTCGTAAAAGTATAGTTGTTATATCTTCTTCCCCACCCCCCCCGGTTTTTTTGTGTGTGTATGTGGGTGAATTAATTTGTTTATTTTTTAGCTCCCACCAATGAGTGAGAACATGTGGTATTTCTTTTTCTCTGCCTGACTCGTTTCACTCAATATTATTCTCTCAAGGTCCATCCATGTTGTTGCAAATGGCAGTATTTCATTCTTTTTTATAGCTGAGTAGTATTCCATTGTGTAGATATACCACATTTTCCGTATCCACTCATCCAAATTTTTTTTAAAAAAGGAAAAGTTTTGCACAGGTTAAGGTCCCTCCCACACACTCACCTGGCAAACCCTAAAAACACAATGTTTTTATACCCTTGTGTGGTCTGTACAGTTATTTAACCTCTGTCCCCTCCACTAGAGGAGAGACCATGTCTGACTTGCTCACTGCTTATCCCCATTGCAGGGGCAGTACCTGACATATTCTTGGCACTCAGGAAATAACTACTGACTGACTGACAGGCATCGGTTATGCGCCAGGATTGAACATTCATTACTTCTGATTCCCACTGTAACCTGCAGTGGAGAGCACTATCCACCCTGACACACACACTTTTTTTCTTTCTTGAACAGAGTAGGAGACAGACACTGGTCATTTGCTCAAGGATCCTTTCTCCTCATGCTGAGGATGTGACTACACCTTGCGTAACCACAGAGATCAGTTTTTTCCAGGACACCACACTCCTTCGGGGCTGGGAAGGCAGCTGCTTGAGGAAAATATGTGCAAGACACACATGGGCCCAGGGAAAAGCAATCTGGGGACCAAGGCAGGTGTCCTCCCAACCTCGCCAGAACCCACCCCGCAAGGTGATTTCGTCTGCCAGAATCAGCCCCTTCCCCACCTGACAGCCTTTCTCAGGGCCTCTGATTTCCCCCAGATGTATTACAGGTTGGTCTCCTTAAAATGTGTTCTGGCAGGCTCCCCTCGCAGGCGCTCCATGCCGTGGCCCAAGGAAAGCTGATCTGCTCACTTCTAGTCGCCGTAGATGTGCCCTCTCAGTCTTACTGCCGGGTGTGAGCTGAGCCAACATGGGCAGCTGCTCCTTGTGGATCTAGGGAGGCTGGAAGGTAGCTTTTTAACACCCTTGACGCAGCCATTTTGCAGGAATAGATTCCTTCCTAATGAGGCTTTTACTCTTCATTCCCAGGTAAACTTGGGAGTCAGGTACTCCAGGCTCCACATACAACTCATTAGCTGGGAGTTCTCTGAAACTAATTCCTTCTGAATAAAATGGGGATAACAGCAGCCCCACCCCTGGATACTGGGGGAGAATGACGTACCAGCAGATAGTGGTGCTTAGGGCTGGTGGCTGCTATTACTCTCCATTATATGTTATAAAAAGGGTTTTTAGGCCATGCCAGGTTTTACCCTCATTTACCCACAGGTAGGTGGAGTGGGAATATTAGGGAACCCGGAGAACTGACGATAGCAGTGATTCTCAACCTGGTGGCGCTCCAGAGCCATTACCCCAGGCCTTGCATGGAAATCCATCTACTGAAACAGGCTGGGTCCTGGATTGAGCAGACACCTAGGCCAGCTGAGGTGTGCAAACCACCTCATCACCATACCTGATAGATGCACTGAGGCAGAGAGGCACATAAGCCAGAAGCTCTGACAGAGCTCCGAGTCCTAAAGGAAACCCACAATCTGGCACCCCTCCTCTCCAGAAGGAAGCCAGGCTGGGAGGGGCTTTCTGAGGCCCCTTCCCCACCTCCACTTA